CCAGCCTCATTTCAATATTAGAAGCTAAGTGGTCATGAACAAAAGGTCAGTGAGAGCAAAATTAAGGTATGAAAGTGTTTGCCTCTTCTCTTAGGATCATAGAAAGTTGTTCTATATTCAGTCAGACCACTGGTCCATCTAGACCAATATTGTTCCCACTGACTGGCAACTGCTCTTCAGAATGTCAAGCCGGATTTTTTCAAGTTCATGAACAGCAGACTTTCTGATTCAGACCTTCATCCTACAATGCATGGAGGACTATGGAGCTGGCAGACAGGATCTCAACTAGAGCTCTGTTCCCCAGGTGGGGTCACAGCACCACAAAGAGGATCTGGCACCCCCTTCTGCCTGCTGCCCAAGAGTGGACCCCCCTGTGGCACACAGGCCAGTGCAGCAGAACTGATCAGGCATGCCTGCTCACTTCTCAAGAGAGCTAACAGCAGGTAGTGATTTGCTCTGTGGTGCTGCCCTAAAGTAGGGCAGCAGAAGAAAGCATATCAGGCATCCTTGCTGTAGCAGCCATTGCAACAATGTGCAAGAGGTTGCCTGCTGTAACGAGGCTGTAGGCACAACACCTACTTGTGCAATGGGGAATCTCTGACAGCCACGACAAACAGAAATCAGCTTGTGATTCAGGCTGCCACAGAAAGGAAACTTGTTCTTTCTCATGGTGTTCCCTGGGATACTGCCTGGATGAATGAGTAGGAAGAATGGAAGTACCCTCACTGTGGGTACTTTGCAGAACAACCAACTGTCTGTGGCTTCTTGTCATGTCATATGAATTCAGTTGTTGTGCGGGTTGCTGATGTCTGTATAGGGTAAAGAGATGAGAAATGATTGAGGACATATGTAGGACATTTGTTACCCAAAAAGAAGAAAGGGGGATACTTCAAACTGTACAGTTTCAGAAATAACATAAAAGCACTGCCAGCTTGTGTTTTCATTACAGCTGTACCTGCACACACAAACAAAATGCTTTGGAAACTGCTTCACTGGCTTGGAGGCTCAGACAAGGCATTTTGGAGGCATCTCCAAAGTGAATAATCTCATCTTATTTTCCAAAGCACTGAATGTCTTCCTGATTGACTAGAAAGGGAAAACATGAGCCTGTAGCTTTGATAGAACTCAATTAAATTAGCAAGAATACTGCTCCTGTCTGAAGAGCTGTCTAATTTCAGACAGGTAGGTACAGACTGTATGTGCTAAGTATCTTTAAAGTTTGTATGTGGAGGAAGTTTTGTTTTTGCTTTTTTAAAAAGGGAAAATCTGCAAATACATATCACTGTTATGTTTGTGGCAGAACTAGATGAATAAACATAGTAGCTCCTGGGAGGGGAATGGAGTTTGTCAAATACGTATAAGCTTTTGGTGCTAGACACTTTTAAAATCAGAATTAGAAAAAAGGTTTCCCATCCCTGTTGTTTTTAATCAAGCACCATCCTTTCTGACTCACCCTTACCTAACCTTCAACTAACTCACAGTTCTACCTTTCTTTCCCCCCCCCCCCCTGTCACTCTTCTATTTGTGGCTACCTTTCTTACCCTCCCACTTCTCTTGCTTTGTGGCCTCACTCTGATGCCTTGCTCTCAATCATATGTGCATGTACTCTTTCATGCTCTACCACCTCTCAGGTGTCCACACTTTCTTGCACCCCTCTGCTACTTTTTCTTCTCTGTGCTACCTCTCTCACTTTTATCACATGTTGCTGTCCTTCTCTTTGCTCTCCTTCCCTGTGCTCTCTCTCACTCCCTCTGCTCTATCATACACTCCAAGCTGTGTATGGCATGGAGGGAAAAGCTCCTAGCTGGAATCACTTGCAGTACCTCTGATCAGCAGCACTTAACCAGCTGCTCTCCCACCAGCCCCTTCCTACAGGAAAGCCTGTTGAACAAAGTTGGGCACTACTGGCTGGAGGCAGCTGGGCCTCCTCTAGGTAACTTTATACAACTTGCTACTGCATCCCACCAGACAGCACTGTGATTGGGAGCATAAAGATTACACTGATTTAACAAAAACTGGTCACTCACAAAGCTTCCTAGATAGACTACTACCTCATCTGAGACGTTGCACAATACTAGTTTTAATTTCCTATTTGCTTGAGCATCCTGGCTAATGCTATATATGTGGAACTTGGGAATAAATTAGGAAACCTTTTGCTCATAACCTTTTCCTTCCCCTTGTCAGGCCAGTCCAACCCCATCTATACAGTTGTGCAAATGATTACATCTGCCTCACTGGTTGCACTTCTATTTATATGCCTTTTCTTTCTCAAAACAAACAAATGTTTATTTGATCTAAGAACACTTTCTTACCATTTTCTTATCTGAGGAAAATCCCACAGCCACCCAGCCATCTGTCTCAGCGCTCAACTCAAACTCTATGTCAGCTCCTATTCTGCGATAACTGAGAAAGTAATCGCAAGTCTCTGCATTACATCCTGGTTTACCATACCTACATGTGACAGAGGAAACAAAATATAACTTCTTGTAATTCAGAAATATTCTAAGAACATTTTAAAGGTTTACCTATATTCCCACTATACAAAATTTGCTACTGACATGGGAAGCAGTCTAGACAAAATTATTCACTTGTAAGTTCCACTGGTGAAGCATGCTTAAGACAGCAGTTCTAAGTCATTAAAGACTGCAATCCTATGCATGTTAGACAGAAAAAACCTCCTTCAGCTCTCAGTATTCCTTACATTGGGCACTGGAAAAAACTTTTTCCATCTATACAAGCATAGCTTTGTACTCTAATGAACTTGTTAGTCTTTCCTGTCTTATTTAATTTTGTAAGTTTCTGTAAGGAGCAGATCTATGTAGGAGGCCTATGGTGTTGGTTTAATTTGCAGAATGCTAATGGTATCTGCTCCTTTAGACAAGAATTAAAAATATGCTGCCTTTCTAGGCAAAATGCCCACTCAAGGCAGTTTACAATGTCTTAGAATAGAACAAGAACATGTATAAACAAACAATAAAAGAGCAAAAAAAAATCAGAAGAAATTAAATAAAACATGTTGGCATAAATACTCATGTTTAATGGTTACTTGAAAGTAGACAATAGGGATAGGGGACACATACCACTCAGGGGAAATATTCCATAATATGAGTGCTATAATGAAAAAAATGGCCTTTTTCTTATCCTTACCAACCAACCTTCTCTTAAAACGTCAGGTTGGCTTGAAAAAAAAGAAAAAGAAAATGCTAGGATACTCTGATCCTGGATTATTTTACTTCTATGCGTCACAATTACAAAAGGCTTCTCTAACACAAGATAGATTTCCAACTTGTATAAAACTGCACGCCATTGGACTCAGAATTACAGTTTAACAACCATAATATATACTGATGAATAATATTTATTGAAATGATACACAGAGAGTTCCTTCTTGTAGGGCAGGTTTTGCATATTTACAAACCTTCAAATAGACCTATACTATCCATACCAACCTAAAGCATCCTTTCGTTTTTCCACAGTCATCCACTCTAATTTTTGCAAATGGATCCACAGGAGGAGCAGTAGGGAAAGGATAACCTTGAAGAATAAGAAGAGATAATTAAATAATTAATGAAGTGCAATGTACTTTCATGGTACTTGAAAAGTAATTGTTACAATTCTAGCAGCATCTTGTTAAAGTCAATTATGCATGCTCATATTCTGCTCTAAGGGTCTAAATGGAAGGAACAGTCCCAGAACAAGCATGTGAAAGATTTAAGATGATTCAGCTCTCCTTTAAATAAAAGATTACAGCAAGCAGTGAGAGGTTATAAATTAGATTAGAGCTATTATGCTGTGGATGTTAAGCTTTTTTCCCCATGTGCCATTTTCCCTGAGTATCTGATTTTCCCTTGCAATAGAAAACATACAAGAAGCCATATGGATAGAAGGATAGAAACAGCAGGATGCTACAAAAGGAGATGTCAGGAAGAGACTGAAAATGCACTGAGCCTAAGGTAGCAGGGAGGCTTAAGAAAGAGATGTCTACAGGAAAGATCCTAAATGGATCTTTCCCGTTTAGGAACACAGAAGCAGGGCAGACAGCCAGAAGATGCAGAAGTGAAGAATATTGTTACATATGTACATCAGTTCTACAAATGGTGAGAAGTTCTGCATCAAAGTCCTATCCAGGTTTACCTCTATTTCAGATTATGAAAGTATATGGGAACATTGTGTTGTCTAATAACTGTTTCAAATATTATTCAAGTAGTACCAGTGCAGGAAACTGATTTACAACATTTCAATAAATTCTTAGTTTTCCTAAGGTGAAGACTCTACTTCAGCCTTTGATTATTTTACACTTTTCTGCTGTGGAGTCATTTTAGTCAGTTTGTGTAATACTTTTCTGTATTCTTTTACATTCAAAGCAGTTCAAGGTAAAGCATGAGAAAACAATGATCATCCTAGAAAATATAATTCCAAATGATTACATAATGAAAACACCCCAGTACCAAAACAATGAATTCATAATTTATTACTAAAAGGAGCAAGATACCCTCCAAATCAGAAGGTGGTAGCAGCTGAATGAGATTATATTTTAAGAGCTGCGAAGGAAGGCAGATTCAGTCTTCAGTTGCAGGTGATATAAGAAAATGAGGAAACTGTCTGGCTCAGCTGGTAAATGGCAAATGCATACTCTCCTGTCAGAGTGGTAAAAATTTTAATGACACATCCTTCCTAATGCATTTTACTAACAAGGAAGAATATGGATCAAGCTGTTCAACATTCTGAATAGTGCTAATGCTGCAGGATAGTAAATATGCCATATAGCATTCCAAACAAGTCATAATGACTACAAATGTACTGTGGGAACTGTGGCTGTCTTTGCATCCACAGCAACCAAACTCACACTCTCCAAAGCCATGTTGAGATGCATATAGATCCATGTGATCAGATTTACTCAATGGATGTAAAATATACATTTCCTCTTTTCCAGAGCTTCTTGCACACAAAAGAATTTCATACAGCAGGAAAATGCACTACACTAAACTTATTGTAAGCTAGGTAGCTTACAGGAATGGCTAAATATGGGCAATGAGTAAAATGGGCAATGAGTAAAACACTTCAGTTAGCTACAGATTATCAAATGAAAGGATGATACTGATACCCATAGGTTCATTCAAGGAGGCAGCACATTGAAGATATTATCACTGGCCTACTCCTCTTCCATCCTGCAAATCAGCAAGATGGCCAGTTTCAACTTCATTTATCCATGACTTCAGACAGGGAGGGGAAAAGGCTGGAGTGCAACCAAGATATATCTATTCAGCAGACTCATTTTCTTCCTGTTCCTGCCCCTCTAACTCCCACTTTACCCCTCTCTCAAGTCCCCCTTCCAACGTTGGAGACATAGCCAGTGTGGTTCTTTCTGTACCAACTGCAAGATGTGGGAAGACTCCCAACTCTGAGCAGGAGTTCTTTTCCATCTCAGATCTGGACTCCAAAAATGCCATGGCCCTCTAGACACTGTTTAGGGGGGTACAAGTTCTCCATAAATCATTATATAAAATGGGCATACTATAGATTTATAATCCTATTATATATTTCTGATTTACAAATCAATAGGTAGAACTTTCATTGGTTAAATCATACAATCATTGACACATAACAGGTCTAAGAAAAAAGCCCTTTTCTAGAAAGCAGCATGTGTGCATCTTTGCAATGTAGCTGACACTGATGAGGCACCAGTCCAGAGAAAGCTAGTTGTCACTTGACAGGTAACAGGAGCTCAAACAATGGGCAATCCATACCAGCACACACCATCCTCCTATTCTATGAAATAGTACCCCATCCTCCCCACTCCTTCAGAGCATCTTCTTTGGTATGCAAGTGGGAAAGATCATGCTATTCTAATTTTTTACTTCTTTTACTTCTTAAACCTACTTTAAACTGTGTTACCACTAACCCTTTAATGATTCGTTATAAAAGGGCCAACTGAGGACTGCTCAGATGTGCCATCTCGAATGATTAATTGCTAGCTGGTTATTCGCAAGAATAAATCTTTTAAAAGAAAACCTTCCTCTGTTGTGTATTTTGGGCATATGCACACCAGGACACGGACCTTTTGATTCACATTTTTCATTCAGTTCAAATGTGTTCCAATCATAAGCCATGACAGGTCCATATGAATGGATGTATACTTTAAAAGTCATAGTAAACAGCATTAAGCCTTATTTTTCCAAGTATATTTCAATGGACTGTTCCTGCTTGTTGCTGCAATTGGTTTTGATTTTCAGCATGTCTGGACTAGTTGTTTTACTGTTGATGTTCAGTTTATTAATTTTTGCTGTTTCAACATGGAATTTCATCACATGGAAATTTATTATGTACCTCACCTTGAGAGAGCTGTTTGTCTTTAAAGAGAGCCTTAAAGACCATCAAATATGTTCTATTTTTGGAGTTTTTAAATGTGTGTGTTCTATTTATTATTTCTATTTTGTTTATTTTGGTTCTATTTAATTTTGATAGCTTATTTTATTATTTTGTTGTCATGTTGTTTACTGTTTTTACTGTTTCTGGATTTTAATATAATGTAAACTGCCTAGACAGCCTATGGCTAGTGAAACAGCATATGAATCAAATAAGTAGATAAATAAGTAGATAAATACTTCCTGATTTTTAATAAATCATAATATTGTTATTGCTACTAGTCAAAATCACACTTTTCCTATTTCCAAAAACAAGCTGTTCAGTACTTATATGGTCTTTAGCAAACATACTAAATATTATTACTGCCCTATGCACTAGAGATGGGAAAGACAGTCTGCAGGTTCTGCTACGCGCTATCAGCAAATATGTTCCGGGCTGAGAATCCTTTGCCTTTGATCTTGGTCTACCATACTTTCGGTGACGGGCTTCAGGTGGATTCGACGTAGGCTCCTTGACGCGACACTTGCCCTCCCACCGACTGAGTCAGTTACCACGGCAACCTTTTCGGCCGTTAGCAATCTAACGGGATCCGGGTTTCAATGTGCGGACGTTGTCTAGAAAGCATTTCATTTGGTATTCCCCTACGTTACCTCGAAACCAAGGTTTCCTCACAGAGGTGTCACCTGCACTGTTCTCACCATGGCAACCTGTCAGAATGGGCAGCGAGATGCCCCATGTGATAGACCCAGGGTCCTATTGTTCCCCCTGGCTCAAAACCTCCGCCGTGAGTAGCGAAATGTGTATCTCTGAGCATGTACAGAGTGTCCCCTCCTTCTGCACCTTCTCTACAAACCCAGCCTTCCACGCGCCGCTTTTCTTACCCCACCCAGCCTGTCGCGGACCCTACTGAAGCGCACAGCGCTTCGAAGCCAGGCGGCGACTCTGCATCGGCGCCGGCAGGTTGCTGTGGGCGGCGGCCTTCGCAGAGTGAGCAAAAAGTAGGATCCCCCCCCCCCGCCCTTCAGGACACCTCCCGTTCAGGGCTGTGGCCGGCTCGTCTTCTCAAGGAGCCACTCACCCTCGTCGGAGAGGAAACGCATGTCGTAAAACTCGCTGGCGAAGGTGCCGTACGAAGAGTCGTGGTGCTGCTGCTGCTCGTCAGGTTGGGCCCCGCCCGGGTCGGCATCCCGTCCGCTCGCGGCCCTTGGCCCGCCGCTGTCCTCAGCCGGGCTGGCCCAGGAGGAAGAGGTGGCGGCAGGGCCAACCAGAAGCAGCAACCAAGTCGCCCGGTGGAGCCAACGCCAGGCTGCTGCAGAAGCGGCCATGACGGCCTCCAACCCGAGGCGGCTTCGTGCGCCGGCGCCTCAGCCTGCGCTTGCTGTTCTCTACCCCCACCCCTCGCAAGGCTATATTCAAGCTGCGGGGAGGCTTAGCCCCCGAAGCAGTTCTTCAGGACCAGGCCTCAATTCCGGAGAACGAGAGAGATTAAAAGGACTTTGAACATATACAAGTGCCTTACCTGACCACTGACGGGCCACAGACAATTACCTTCTCTCTCAGCCCACTTCCCATACGCTTGATAGGTATTTAAAGTATGCTTATACCTTTTTAAAGGAATTTTTGGAGTGTTAGATAAATGCTGCTTAGCAGTTATCAGTATAAAATGAGCACAAGCTATATGCTATGTTATGCAACCCATAAAATGACCAGGTAGGCTTAGTTAGACTGCTTGCTGACCATATAAGGATACTTGATCAATTGACCGCTTTGGATAGGTTCACAATTAGAGGGTGATAACTGGAGCCAGTGTTATAAAGGTTTATTGAACTGTGCCTCAAAGTTAGGAAGACTGCTTTGTTTTTAAAGGCAGCGGTTTCACCCTTCAGCTGAAGCCTGTTAATAAAAACTAATTTTGAACCTACATCGTGTCTTTGCCTTCCCTCTTGAAAGGACAAATTAAGCACAAGACCCCTTAGGAGATGAATTACAGGGTGCATGTCCAACAGAACAAAGCCTAGAAAACTGAAGGTGCTTGATGACCATGGTAACTAGAAAATTCTAAAAGTCCTGTTAGTCTGTAGCTTCAAAATCTTTTTAACACTGTAAAGATTAAGGTTTGTTGTGGCAGAAGCTTGGAATAGAGGCTACCTACAGTACAGTCCTTTCTACTCAGTCAAAAGACTTAAGAGTTCAGTGGGGTTTGTTAGGTAGATGGATGTAGGACTGTGGTAACCAGATACCTGAAGTGTTGTTTTGAAATATACATGTGTACCCATCTGTGTATGTCTTTACAGAAGCAAGATGGACGGAATCTGAAAGGACCGTGAAAGGAAAAGGTTGCTCTGTCTGTATCTGCGTGTGTATACAGTCGCTGAAAAGTGACACTTCATGCATCTGATGAAGTGGGCAAAAGCTCCTGCCACAGTGAAGATCCTTAAGGTGGCATGATACTCATGCTTTTTTTCAGTAAAGCATTCTACCACTTTGATGGTGTGGGAGGTAACTGAGGTTGCTCAAGGGTTTTGCCGTCAATGCAACAGAAACTTCAAATGCAGGGCTTTGCTTTACCACAGAGGAATCAACAGTTACCTGTTGAGAAAGAGTAAAGGGCTGCACAGAGATATACGAGTCTTCTCAGTTTCTGGAGTAAGTGAACCGCTGAACATTTGCTGGGCCATAGACCATTCTTGACTCCTTCTTCACCTCCAATGCTATTATTATGTAACACAGCATATTTGAATACTAGTAATATTGACATAAATACATAGTTTCATATGTAACATTCATTTTTAATGAATTCATTAGCTACCTTAAATGCTAATACATGAGGTAGGCTAACCTAGTTTAATAGAATGCAGAGCACACAAACAAAATCTCTGGAAAATACCAATTACAGCATTAGACTCAGCCTGAATCTGCTTTTTTATTTATATTGTTAGAAGTTTTATATCATACTTTTCCATGGATTTAAAAAAATGTGTCCAAGGACGCTGCCATCAAATTTAAAAACTGCAGTATTTTTAACATAAACTTCAGTAAAGCAGAGGTAATCATAGTAGATAAGAGGTACCAAAGACAGTAAGATCAGCAGTACAAATCTCTTGGAAAGGCAAATTAAATTGCAGTCGGAAAATGTTTGAAGACTGAAATGAAGACAGAAATGGGATCAACTAGGATTTCTCTGAAAGGTATCCCATATTTTAGGTGTGGCCACCCAGTATGCTTTCACATATTTCAGCTCAAAATGCTGAAAAGAAACTCCCCATTAAATCTTAGTGGGCAGGATGGTACAGGAGGAGATAGAGATTGGGTGACTCAAACTGTAACCATTTGGGGCTTTAAAAGTAATCACCCAGAAGCACCTTGAATTATGTCTTGAAAGAAATCTGGAATCAGTGCAGCTGTTACAAAATGAGTGTGAAATGATTCTACAAGTGAGTACCTATAACACCCTTGTCATGTGCTACCCAACTGATGCTTCTAGAGGCTTTTCAAGGGCAGTCCAATATATAGTACACTCAAATATTCAAATATAAATGTGATGAAGTCATGAGTTATAGGTACAATGTGTTTGTTTATACTAGTGTATCCCATTCTTCTTAAAAGAAGCTTGGGGAGACACACATGGGGTTATCTCATTTTATCTTCACAAGATTCTTGTGAAGGTGGGAAAGGCCTTCCCATTCACAAAGCTGCCTACTGATTATTGTTGTTAGGCCATACTTATTTATAACTTATAATAAATAATAAGGAGCATGGTCTGAAATAAGATAATGGCTATGTTCTGAAGAAGTGCAAACTGTTAATCCTTTTACAGGGAATGGATTAAGGAATCTCCTTCAAAATGAGAGATATTGGGCACTTTTGCCTTGGAACCAAAAGGGGATACTAGCCCTGCTTAATTCTCACATGTGTTAACCTGATGGAAAAATCAAACAATTTTCTGTACATTATATAAACCTGATATATTTGTGCAACAGATTCATAAGTTCTTTGTGATCTCTGTGCCTCATACATATGGACTCTGCACCTGTGCAGGGCCAGTTGTAGGATAGATAGAGATTCCCTAGCTAGGTGTTTTGGCAGAAGTCTCACCCCCCTTCCCCAATACTATATAAAGGTGGGGCTCCAGCCATTTTCTTCAGTTTGTTTTTGACCACTGCCTTGTTTGCCTCAGAATTCTACCGCACCTCTCCTTACACTGTAGAACTTTCCTTTTATCTCAACTTTACCTCACAAACCTTATCTTTCTTCCACTTTTCAATATTTCTGAACTTATACTCTCCCATCTTATATATTTTAAAAACTATCCATTTTACCTCATAGCTTATAGGATTAACCACTCTCAACTGTCCCTCTTCCTCCCCCGCATCTTTATTCTACTCACCGATGGCATTCACAGCTGTGTTTTGAAAGTGTGTGCGCTGTGACACCAAGATGCCCTCAACTGACGGGCATTCACTCTGTCTCTTCTGCCTTGGAGAAGACCACAGGGTAGACTCTTGCCCAGGGGTCGGCAACCTTTAACAATCAAAGAGCCATTTGGACCCGTTTCCTACAGAAAAGAAAACACCAGGAGCCGCAAAACCCTTTGGACATCTGAAATGAAGATAACACTGCATATATTGTTTTTTACCTTTATGCTATATATAAAAAACTATAGTGTGTTGCATTTATGAAATTAATGAACTGCTACAGAGAAAACAAATTTTTATTTCTGCATGCAACAAAAACATTTTGAACTCTGAAAAAAAAGACGCTGGGTTGAAGGTTACTTTCAAATAAAATATTCAATGTGTATTTGAGTCCTCCTCGTATTTATGAAATAAAAAGCCGAACATAAATTATCCACCTGCAGCAAACCAAAAATGCCGTCTGCTTCTGTGTGCCCTCATCCTTTTATCACGTGTACTGGAGGGTGCAGTCAGCTGTCAACCTGAATAAAAAAAGGACTAGTTGATACTTTCATACAGTAAGCAGAGTTTCTGCAATACAGCAAATATAAATAATAGTCTGGTGAGATAGTGAACAAACATCCCTCTCCCAATGTAATAATGTTGCTGGATTTTTTGTAAGAATCTTCTTAAAACAAGGAAGTAGATCTTTATCTTCATTATGATTTAGCAGTCACTAAAAACTGTTTTTAATCTTACATTATAAACTAGTAGGACTCCTTTCATATATTTTGAATAGAACAGCTTCCTGCAGAGTCAAAGTCGGTGCTAAAGGACTGCATGCATTAAACAGCAAACCCCATAAGTTTGTCAGCAGTAAAAGCAAATGAATCTACCCATGTACCATTAAACATTTGGTTTTCTTCAGAAACTTTTCTTCGATTGATTGATTGGTTGGCTTTCTGGGAGAAAAAGCTCAGTAAATTTGCACGGGTTGCAGATATAGGTGTGTTTAGTGATTGATTAGCAGATAAACAGTCAAGTGATGTGAATTGTGACATGTCCAAAGCACAACTTTTAACATTCAGAGGAAGGAGATTACATTTGGACAAAGAGAATCTTTTCAGCAGCGTTTTGTGTAACATGAGAACCTGTAGGAAGCTTGTTCTATTCCTTCCCTGCATGCTAGCAGAGGAGATCAACCCTGACTGCTCTTTAGAAGGCCAGATCCTGAAGATGAAAGTCAAATACTTTGGCCACCTAAAGAGAAGGAAGGACTCCCTGGAGAAGAGCCTAATGCTGGGAACAATAGATGGCAAAAGAAGAAGGGGACGGCAGAGGATGAGGTGACTAGACGGAGTCACCAACAAGCAGTTGGTGTGAGCTTGAGTGAACTCCAGGGGATGGTGGAGGACAGGAAGGCCTGGAGGAATGTTGTCCATGGGGTCTCGATGGGTTGGACACGACTTTGCGACTAACAACAAAGCAGAGGAATGTCAATTTACTTAACCCGCTAACACGGCGTTCCTGGTGGATGCCTCATCATCACCTATTGGTATTTTGTATCTCAGAGCCTCGGTCGCAGATCGGTGGCTCTGCCAGCACATGTTGCCGGCGCAGCTCGCAGATTGGCAGCTGTGACGCGTATTTTGAGCGACAGAGCCGCAGCAGAGGGATTCAAGAGCCATATGTGGCTCCAGAGCTGCAGGTTGCCAAGCCCTGCTCTTGCCTGCATTGTCAAGCTATGACCAAGCAGGCAAGAAAGAATCAAGCAGGCCATCCATGTAATGAAAAGTGGACCAGAACCTGTTTTACATTGTCTTGTTTCTACAACTGGTAACACCCTATAGGTTTCTACAACTGGTAACACCCTATATCCCAAAACTCCTCAGTTTCTCCACCAGGATATCATGGGGCACTTTGTCAAAGGC